CTAGATTTTCAGGAAAAACTTCTGTGAACACTAACACAAGTAACAAGAAAGAAAACTACCAGAGGAACACTGAGCAACACTTTCCTGATTTTGAAGGGTGTCCCCTAAGACACGTTTACAAACCAAGCACAAGGATGGGAGAGCACAGGAAGCAGCTAATGAGCAACACTCCTTTCCCAGTCAGAGGCAGGACTGCAAGGGGGCCTGTCTAACTCTGAACGTCAGAGCAAGGCACACTACAGGGTGGGTCACTCTGGTCGCTGGCCACACAAGGCGGTAATATGCTGCTTCCTAGTTTTCCAAAATTACATTAGAAAAATATATATCTTTATCTCTCTCATATAAGAGATAAAGATATATATATATAGATAACGATATATATATATATATACATATATATATATATGTATATATATATATATATATATATATAGATAACGATATATATATATGTATATATATATATATATACACACACACACACATATATATATATATATATATATGTGTGTGTGTGTGTATATATATATATATATACATATATATATATATGTATATATATATATATATTTTTTTTTCCTTTTTATGATATGCTTGAGGCTGAGCCTGAGGTATGCCCCGGTCTAAAGTGCTCAGTGTGGCCTCACACATGAGAGTTGCTAGGGAAAGAAGATACCCAGGAAGACCATGGATCCCCTTATCATAGGCCAGCTTTTCAGCCTGAGACACTTGCTAAGGCAATACAGGAACTCACTATTTTAAAAGGGATAAAAACAAAAATAAAAACAAAAACAAAACCATTTTTTATAATGTTACTTTAAACTTTGTTGCATTTTATATGTTTTTGTTTGCCTGGGTGTATTATGTATGCATACTACATGTGTGCAGAGCCTGGAGAATGAAGGCTTTGGGCCTTCTGGAACTGGAGTTAGAGATGGTTATGAGCCACCTGAAACTAGCTCACTTCAACGATTCACTGTGTTAGAAGTCCATGATTAGAACATGCATGTAAACCACATGAACTTACTAGGGTATTTAAGGGACTTGGTTGTGGTGCTGGGTCCTGAACCCAGGTCCTCTGCAAGAGCAGCAACTGCTCTTTACATGGCTCTCTCTCTCTCTAGTCCCTAAGCTCCCTTTCTGTTTATCTGTGTATATATATGTGCACATGTGTCACCATACATACATGTGGAGGTCAGAGGACAACGTTTAGGAGCCAAGTTTTCTCCCTTCCACCAAGCGGATCTTAGTGATTGAATTCAAGTCTTTAGGCTTTGTGGCAGGCACCCTGACCTGCTGAGCCATCTTACCAGCCCTAAAGAGGGCTTTTTATTCCAGAACCAGCTGTCCAGACGATTTAAATTTTATAGCTCTTTTTTGAGCAACACATAGGACTGCAGACAAGTGCTTCTATGGGCTAAAATTCACGTCACTTTGTTTTCATTCCTGGTTGAAGGAACCCTGACCCAAGACTGGCTGGTAGCTCTGACTCTGTGTGTACAAGGCACACAACTCCTAGGATTCTGTTACTTTCTAGGCCAAGGAACACCCGGTAGCCCTGCAGATGGCAGACACAGGGCGCCCCAGAACACTGAGAGTCACTCTATTACCAACAGGTCCTTGGGTACTTCCTTTAAGGACTGGGTCTGCTGTGTCACCTTCCCTCACCGCAATTTCTTAAGGGCAGCAAAGGGTGGTACCAAATCTAGGATGGAGTTCAGAGCTGACCCTGAAAACTCGACACCATCAGCTTTGAGGCACAACACAGCAAAGAGTTCTCACCAACAGAGCACCGGCTAAGAGAACATAGCAACAGCAAGCAGTCCGAGCAGCTCAGGCCTCTCTGAGAAAAGGAGGGATACAGAGGCTAAGGCCACCCCGAGCCAACCCACCCGCATGAGCCTGTAGGAAAGTTTCTTGTAGTCTAGACTCTTTTAATTGCTGTGCCAAGAGCACTGCACTTTGTTGTGAGGGGCATGGCCAGCTGGAGCCACCAGGTAGCAGCAGCAGGCCCTTTCTCAACCCTGCCCATGTGCAGTCACAAGAGTGGGAGGGCGGCCTTTCTCCAGGTCACCCCACAATCACGGACAGGTCCCGCCCTTCTGTGCTGGACTCCTCGGCCCAGGCCAGACCCAGGGCTTGGGACAGTGATCTGAGCAGAGCATCAGAGGCCTAACTTACCTTGCTCTTCTTTCCGGGAGGCTCGGCACATGCCCTGCCGAGCACATGTCTCTCTAGCCATCTTTCAAGGGACTGCTACTTATTCCATATTTGGAGAACCCTGATAACTTGAAGGAACTCCCTTGCTTACTCACTCATAGGGAAATAGTGAGAACTAAGAAACCTCAAGATCATCTCCACCAAGTAACAACTCTTTCTCTCACGGCGTGTCTGTCACCCAAAACAAAAGTTGCTGATGGCTTAACTTAATTCCTGCTACTTAGTCGAAGGCACGCTTAAATAATGAAGCTTCTAGAAAACCACCTGGTTGCTGAAAATCTGTGGCTTCTGTGAATTTCCACAGGAACTTGAGTACAGGGAAGTCAATAGCACGAGGAACCGCAGCCACAGTAACTAGGGAGCTCCTGCTTAGCCTCAAAAGTCCCCGAGGAAATGGGCCTCAATCCACAGGTCCAGCAAGGGCCCCAGCTGTAGACTGCTGTAAAAAGTGACCAGGATCAGGGACGGCTGGAGCCCTGAGATTTTCAAAATATTCCTAGACCTGGGTTTTAGGTCTATCACAACTTGCCCTGGCTCACAGCAGCATTTATCCATGTATTCTAAGCATGGGTTTTTTTTGTGCCTCAACAGCAAAGTTGAAGAGTTGTTGTAGAAACCATGCTGTCTCAAGGGTTGGTGCTTTGTCCTTGTACAACAGACATTTGCTGGCCACTATCCTGACATGTTCTAAGTCTACACATCTTCCTGGTCTTGTGTCTACACTTCCCTGCTAGTCTTTTGGCTTCATGTTGCTTCCTTTGAGGGGGCCTTTCTTGAATACCTGGTGAAGAGAACAGCAGGCTTTTACCCCAGGTATCACTCCTTCATAGGACTTGGCTGAGGCCGCCTTGCTCACTTAATGAGCTGTCTGACAAAGTCAAGCTTCAAGGGTGGGCCTGGCCCGTGTGCCCATTTCCTTCTCTGTGTGTAGATAGTAATTATGACTGCAACAGTCAGTCAGATCACATCTATGTGAAGGAAGCCACACTACGTTCAGTCCACCTGGCCACCAAGCATCACAGTGTGACTGCAACAGTGAGTCAGATCACATCTGTGTGAAGGAAGCCACACTACGTTCAGTCCACCTGGCCACCAAGCATCACAGCAGAACCAAGTGTTCTGTCTCCAGGCAGTAAGACAGTTTTTTGATATTTACAAAAAGGGGAGCTATCGCCGGGCGGTGGTGGCACACGCCTTTAATCCCAGTACTCGGGAGGCAGAGGCAGGCGGATCCCTGTGAGTTCGCGGCTAGCCTGGTCTCCAGAGCGAGTGCCAGGATAGGCTCCAAAGCTACACAGAGAAACCCTGTCTTGAAAAACCAAAAAAAAAAAAAAAAAAAAAAAAAGGGGGGGGGGAGATACCGACACCCTTCTCAAAGGTTTAAGAGATGATCCACAGTAACTGTATCAGGCTGTAAGGTAAGACAGGATGTGTTCCATGCCAACAGGAGGAAGGAAAACAAGGACCAGAGCCTCATGGCTTCCGGGCACCGAGAGACAGGTGCTCAGCACCTGCTCTGACCCTCCCACCCAGGCAGTGGAGGCTTGCAGGGGACCCTCTACTCCAGTGGAATTCAACTCCGTCAAAACACAACCCTCTTGCCTATAAATAAGAAGGTCTTTGAAACACTAATTAAAAATAAGTCTGGCATTTGAAGTCTCTGATAAACAAAAGGGCTAAGCGAAACAAACAGAACAGTTGCCCATTTGATCTATACATGGGTGGTAAAAGGCTGCCAGTGTGTCTCCCCACAGACTTCTTTCAATTACCCCTAAACCTGCGGACTTGGAAAATACGTAACAAAGTCCACCTTCCCAGTGAGCTGCTAAGGAATTGGTTTTTATGTCAGCGGAACCCATTTTACTAACTCTGAAAGCCACTATAAAAAACAACAGGTCTAAAACAGAGCTCGAAAATACAATGTGGTGAACAGTGAGAGCCTGAAAACACCATTTGTCCCCATGTGTACCTCGTAGCTGTGTGCACCCCACTTAAGGGGCCTAAGTTTCAAGTGTCCAATAGCCCAGGTGCTAGTGGCTGCTGAAATGGAGTACACAGAGTTAGTTTTCTTATAGTCTCTGCATTTTAGAGTGCTGTGTCAGAGACCATTTCTCTTAGAACCTTTGTGTTTTTCTTAGGATGAGTAAATACATTAAATATTTATGATTTTCTATTTTTCAAACCTGGACTCCATATAGGATCTGTCCTGTATTCTGAATAAGCTAAATGATATTAAGGCTCACATCGCACTGCTTTTACCGAAAGCATTCAATTTTACTTTTTAAACTGTGGCTGATTCCTTTTTTCATTTCCTTTACACATGGCTTCCTTCTTGTCCCAGCTGGGTGCACCCAGGACGATCTCACAAGTCTGAGCCGAGTGTCTGTAATGAGCTAGGAGAAGGCACCACCAGGGCACAGAATGATCCACCCCAGTCTTCATTCAAACAACTCTACCCTGTTGCTCAAGCTTTTGGTAAACTTGTATCTGTCTTTATAAATTACCTCATGGTTGGCAAACTTAGGCCTCCCAAGGTTATAAGCACAAAGTGATCACAGGGGACTGCAGGGGGGGAAACTTAGGCCTCCCAAGGTTATAAGCACAAAGTGATCACAGGGGACTGCTGGAGAAGGGCAGGCACAGGAGCTGATCACTTGCTGCTGGACGCCCAGTCCCTGACCCCTAAAGCAAGCACACGACATCGTGCTAAAGCCAGCATTGTGGGCTCAGCCTTCCTTCCCATTAGTGGGGGGGGAGGGGCACAGTTTCAACTGTGTTACCTCTGCGTCCTGCTCTTGGAGGCCATATGTCTGCTGGAGGCGCTGCAGTGTCTGGGGGCTCAGGGTCTTCTGCTCTAAGAGACACTCCAGAAGCAAGATGATCTGGTCTGGAGAAAGCTGAGGACAAAAGAAACAGCCTTTGAAATGTCGGTTAGCCAACAAGAAGTTAAAACTAAGGTTCTGGGCAAGGACAGCAAAGCCAGGGCAACTCGGGTACTCTTACATGTCTGAAAGATGGGGAGAACAGGTGCTGATTTAGCTTGGACATTAGGATTTATGCTGTCTGCGGCCCCAAAGATTCACATCCTGGGGCCTAGCAAAGCCCTGTTTTCCGTGGCCAGTCATGTTGGGTACGTGCTTTCGGCACTCGTCTTAATTGAATGTCACAATAGCTCATGACGGCCTTGCCTTTATGGGATGCATATGCCATAAAGTGTTTCCCGGCTAGACAAGGACTCAAGAGGCCATCCAACTTTAGGCAAATCCACAGGAGTTTACCAGAAATAGGTAGGCTCAGATTTCTTTCTGAACCAAGTTAAGCCTTCAAGGCACCAGTTGAAACCTGAAGAATAAACACAATGTAACAATTGCTGCCTCTCACAGCCGCTCCCTTTCATGAGGAGTCTATTTATAATCTGTGAGTTTAAGATACTCAAGTGTACTTTACAGGCCATAGACAAGCAAATGTACAGCGATGGATATACCTAAGCACACAGTCATTCTTACTCAGGATTCACACTGAGTTCACACCACAATTGGTATCAGAGCAGCTAAGGGCAATGAGAGGGAGAAGTCTGTGTGTGATACAAACGTAAAACCAGGTGGTTCAGAACAAACAACTGTGGTGCACTCTTCAGCCAGGAGCCCTGCTCTGCCAGGCCATCTCAGCCCAACAGCAGGGAGAAAAGAAAAGTCAAGATACACCTGTACTGACTGACTGAAAAAGGTCACTCTAAAATCAGTGTTTTACACAAACTCCACAGTCTCTACACTGGCACCCCCTCTAGTCCTGGATACGCCTGATCATCCTTCTGATAAAATCAAACTTCTGTAGGCCGACAGAGGATTTCAACTGCAAATTTCTATTACATAAAAGGTGTTAACTTACCTACCACCTTCTCTCCTCTTACCTCTCCCTTTTGTTCTAAAATACATGTTTTGCCTGAACCCTCCTGCAATGTGCAATGCTGGGTAGTTTCACCAGGAAAGCATCCCCCCCCCAATCCTTCCCACCTGTCCTCTCTCTCCCTCCCTCTCTTTTACAAAAGGTTTCACTTTATAGCCTGGCTGGACTGGAACTCTCACTATGTAAACCAGACTGGCCAGGAACTCAGTGACCTGCCTGTTTCTGCTTCCTGGGATGCTGGGATTAAAGGTGTGAATGAACCATCACACTTAGCATTTCTAGTATTTCTTTCTCACCCTAAATCTTAATGAATGCGCTCCTCCGGTGACAGATACAGTGCCCAGCACTGGTTCCTGGGTATATTTATTATGTAGTTTTTCTCCACCTACAGTTACACCACAGACAGATTCTAGCAAAATGGCCCTGACCTATGAGGTCCTAAGACAAGGGCTCCATAAATGACTATATTTCTCTTCCTGAGACATCAAGTGTTTGCAAGATGTTTTAAGGTGTGGTAGGAGCTGCATCTACCCTTTTCTGTAACTTTGGACATGAGGATGCTGTCGTGACGCTAAGGAAACCCAGCTACTTGCTAGAGCAGGGCAAACGCAGGACCTACAGCCCCTGTGGGGCCCCGCCCGTCCTCACAACACACACCTGAGGTGCTTATGGGCATCTGGCTCCTGAGCAGGCACCAGCTGAGTTTCCTTCCGAGCTGGTGGCTCCTCTGTTTCATCACTGAAAACCCTGGCTGATACTGGCCCTTTGATCCTCTTCCCTCTGGTTACCCATCAGACCCCAACAGCAGCTTTAGCATTTCCAGGGAACCCGTCAGCCCCAAGGCCTTTCTCTAGAGGACACACACCCTGGACAGCCTCCTGCATGGGTGTCTTCCCTCGGTGCCCAGCTAAGCCCTCAAGCCACCCCACTACTTCTCTTGGTTTTGTTGTGGCGGTGGCTAGCTAAACTCACCCATATGCCTGACCTGGGTATCCCTCCTGAGTCCAAACACCGAACCCAATTCCAGTTTATAAGTGAGAACGGCTAGCATATGAGCCCAAGGGATGCTCAGATCCACACCTGTGTGCTGTTTTTCTTCCAAGCAGAAAGCTCACATCTGCACCCAAACAGAATCAAAAGGATCACAGAAAGCTTTCGGCATCTCAAGACTGACGCAATGGAAACATTTAGAGCTAAGCCCCCTGACTTTAAGGCCAACAGCTGAGACGGCAGGGAGGGCTGGAGGGAGGAGTACACATGCACTCAAACCTTTAGGGCTGTTTCCTAAGTTGGTCTGGCTCCAATTAGAAGGTGGGAAAGAGTGAGGGTGCACACCCTGTCAAGGAATCCACCCTCCTCCATTCAGGAAGGTACAGACAAGAGGCCCTCATGCAAGTGCAGGCTTGTTCAGAGGTGGGCAGGACAGAAGGACAGCCATGCCGAACATTCCTCCCTAATGCTAGAGATCTCCGCCTAGCCTGGCCTTTGCAGAATGGACTTCAAGAAAGTACTCCATTAGTAAACAACCTGAGGCCACCTGGCTGTCCAATTCATGGGAAAATGTAGAGACAAATTAGTGGCCTCATGCTGTTTTCAGCCACAGATAATAAAACGATCATTCACTCACAAGTAAATATTATATCACACACACACACACACACGGATGTCAGGCTTGAAAAGAGGATGTGTTAAAGCAAAAGTATTTTAATAGAGTGAGCTTCGTAAAATACATATTTGCTCCCTGTCAAGCCACCCTACAATGGAAAAGAAATAAGGCATGATAAATGTTGGCAAAGAGACCGAAAAATCTCAAGTACTTGCAAATGTGCTGGGAAGCAATGCTGGGCAGTGGGCTGCCCTGGCAGCTGGCACAGGGGAATGAGCTCCCACTCCTAAGCACGCAGAAATGAAATGAACTTTCATACAACTTCGGGACCGACTGTGAGCTACCATGGAGGTATTGCAGGAAACACAGATAGCCTTGGTTGTATTGTGGTTATCATCAAGAAAACAAAACAAACAAGCAAACAGAACAGAGCCCACGTCGGCAAGCATTGGGCCCCAGGGAAGCCAATCTGAAATGTTACCAACAAGATCTGTCTTTGTGGCTGGGACTGACAGCCCATGCTTGAAATTCAGCTGCATGAGGAGAGAAAATTCCTCTTTTTCACAAACAAAGATGTATGATTAGGTTATTATTGCAGCAATGGGAATACCTCAGTGTTATAAAAATGCATCTGCTTAGGAAACTCAAGACAAAATAAGACTACGAGATGCCCAAATCACGTGGGTACTTGAAAAGAACAGCAACAGGCCTGTAAAACTCACTCAAATGAACACAAGAAACAAGATGCAGCAGGAAGCCAGGCAAGTACAAGCACTATTTGTTAATTGTGGAAGTCTGTATTTTTGCCATAAACATTGAAGATTTCATAGTTGTTAGTTATGAAGTAACGTACAAAGAAAAAAGTTAACTCCATCTGTCCCCCAGCAGACTTAAAAATTCAGACAAGCGGACAACTTTGAACTGTTTTAAAGTTTCTTGGAGAGAAAATGTTAAATCCCAACCCCATCACCCCCATCCCAAGTACAAGCAGCACAAAGGAGACAAACCCTGGCACTTCAGGAGCCTCCTGGGTGCCTTTACAGGAGACAGGGGCAGGAGTGGGTGGGTGGGGGCAGGGGTGGATGTCACTCTGAGCTCCGCCAAGGCAATCCGCACCACTGCAGCCCCCACTTTCTCTTCCATGAGCATAACACGATGCAGAAACGCCTATTTACCTCTCAAATCAGAGATGCCACAGACACAAGTCGCACCATGAGGATTCCACAGGCACAAACATGAGGGCTGCCACTGGCATGCGGTGAAGGCCAAGGGAGCCCTGAGCGCCTCCTTTGCAGCCCAGCTGGTGCTCAGCAGAGGCCGGCAGGAGGAAGGAAGTCAGTGCAGCTCCAGACGGGCGTGAGCCTGAGACTAATGCAGCCACAGACTGACAGTGGCGTGAGTTCTATTATTACCCCATTATCACTCTGGGATCTGAGCCGAGATGAAGCATGCTTCCTCCCTGGTGCCATTTCCTTTTATCCTGGCTGGAGACTAAAAGCGGATCAATGGGGGCAATAATGTATGATGTCACTTCCATTATAGCGACAGCCTCCCTCCTCTTCCAGTCTGTCTGAAACACACAGAAAGATCAATTCTTCCCAAAAATGGTTAAAAAATGCTTTGGGAGCATGCATCTTCCAGAAAAGCGTTCTCTGCTATATTTGTCTATGTTACTTCGGCAGGAACTGTTTACACAGAACAAAACAGAAGAAATGGGGGAGGGAGAAAAAAATCTCAAATTCTCCTGTAGGCTGGAGACTTGCTGCCTGAAATTCAACCCAAGCAGGGGCCAAGTCAGAATGTGAGCCGCTGACCTTCGAAAGTCACATGTAGAAGGTGAAAGGTGACCTCACAGATATAAAACACCTTTCATTTTATAAGGCGCTCCGAATCTGGAAAATTCCTTGCTACCTTTTCCAGGAAACACAGCCACCACCCTGCAGGCGCCAAGACAAGCCACTCAGGACCGATGAGGCACCTAGGAAGGCAGACATTGCTCTGAGGCTTAAAATAAGATGCCATTGAGCGAATTTTCACTTGGAGAAGGGCAGGATACGGATACCATCGAGAAAAGTCCCTTACAATGCAGAGAGAAACAGAAGCAGGAGGGGAGCAGGAGGGAGCATGGTCTCTGCGGCCTGACAGGGAAGGGCTTCTTCCTTGTGGGGTGCACACCGCCAACAGGCAGATTAGGTAGGTACTTTAAGCACATGTTCATGGGCGATGTCTGCAGGACCTCAGGAGAGAACTAAGGCGTCTTCCAGGCATTAGAAACTTACAGAGAAACATCTGTGGCTGCCACCACTGCTACTTCGGGCAGCAGAAAAACTGTTCAGTTCATGGGTTTTTGCTTTAATCACATTTTAAAGAACTAAACATAAGACT